CCTACGCCGTCCCCCACGAATGAAGGGCGAAAATTATTTTTAGGCTTTTTATCCCCCTTTGCATGGCGATTTTTGTTAACTTTTTGGTGTAGAATCAAAGAAAAGGGTTTGAAAATACATTTTCTGCCAGGTTTTGGTGAATATTCATGATTTTAAGGCGAAGGATACAAGAGTTGAGAGGTTGGTTAGGTTGAAATGCGGGGCGGAAAATTACATGTTTATTGATCTTTACTTCCAGCTTGTGTATCTCAAGTTTTTCATGAAGAACCTCTTACGTGCTTCTGGGCAAGAAGTTGCCACATGTTGCTCCATCTGTGGTAGAAAGCGTTCTACCCAACGAAAATTTGGGAAATAGTTAGAGCCGGTCTAAAAGTCGAGAATTAACATTATAGTAAATGGGGAAATCATTAATGATCTGTGGCCTATATTGACAATGCGCAACACCATAATAGTACGCCATTTTTGTTGGATTCTCTACAGGCTTGATTGAGCATATAGGTGTAGACACGATTACATATTTTTGGGATTGATTTATAAGATATATTTCATAATATCGACCATTATGACAGGCGAAAATGTCATCAAGTACTACTTCCTGCCAGGATTTTAAAATTATAATTTGTAAAGATCGGACATTAACGACGTGAATATTATCAGATGCATGTTACCTGAACACTGTGAAAATGTTTTATAAACTACTGAACGGTATCACCTATACTAAACATTTTTCACCTAAATGAATATTGAAAGCTTGGGTTATTTTTTCTGTTTGTTTGGGTTTTTTTTTTTATTATTTTTGAAAAATGAAATAAAATTGAACCGAAAAAAATGATTAATTTGTTATCAGTGTTAGCATTACATATATAGTGTTTGTATAAACATTTTAGTGTGTAAATGAATATAGAAATTTGTTAACTAAAAATCGTAGTTACATCTGAAACAAGCAATGTTTATTTCCACATTATTGTTTTATCCTAGGGGTAATTATATATATTTAAAATTTATGGAAACCTTGTTGAAAATCGTTGGTCTCCCCCTTTAACAGTTTGTTGGATTGGAATCAAACGAGAAGAGCGGTCACAATTGTCAATGTTGAACTACTTTCATTGCGTCACATTTGTATTCATCCACCTCGCCTCAATACAGTTACAATTGTCAATAACAAAATGACAAGCGCGACTGGTTGGTCAAGACTTCCAGCACCACTGTCCTTCAGAGTAGTTTTGACAGGACAGACAGAGAGGAGGGCAGAAGAATCACCATTTAGCTTGAGAACTGGTGAAGATATGTCCGTCCAGAACGTCTCTGTTTTTTACAAAGGTTCCCCTGAAATATACAATAAACAGTACCGAAGACTTATCGGTGGCATTGCTACGAGAGTTGCTTTCTTAACTTAACTAGAACTGCGATTTGATTCAGCTATCTAAATATGGAAGTCTCCAGCTCGATATCATCCATAGTCTTCGGCATTGAAAACACGAATTATTTGACAATTTAAATCAACATTGATGTTGTGATCTTACCTGGAAAATGTGCTTCTAATATTCAATATTTAAGACAAAATAAACATTTTACCATTGATACACGAATCGTGTACCATAATGCGTTTCAGCATCTAAACCAAGTTTAAACATTCTACCTCAATCAAAAGGAGGTTGGTTATGTTAAAAAGTCTTGACTAATCAAATTGCTTATCGCTTCCTGGCCTAAACAGAACATTCTTGTCATTAAACTTTGACAATGAAACTATACACGGAGTTTCACCACTCCCACTCAGAATCAAAGTTATAGAGCTCCAAAGTCCCGACCAATAAAATTGCTTATCGCTATGCTTAGCCTGAACAGAACATTCTACCTCAATTAAAAGGAGGGTTATTGTGTTCCAACATCTCGGCCAATCAGATTGAAGTCTATACCTAGCCTGAGCAGAAAATGCTCATCATCAGACCTAGCCAAGGTTGTGATGTTATGAAACTATACACGCAGTTTCACCACGCTCACTCAATTAGAATCAAAGTTATCGAGTTCCACAGTCTCGATAAATCAAATTGTTTACCGCTCTGCTTAGCCTGAGCAGCAAATGGTCATTATCAAACATGATAATGAAACTGTAAGCCAGTTCTACCGGGACGCTCAGTGTCATGGCAAAAGTTGCTCAGTTAATGAAAAGAACCCCATGTGTATTAGAAATCATATAGACGGCATCACGATTCATTCTATGAGGAGAGAGAGAGAGAGAGAGAGAGAAATGGGGTTTAACGTCCACTCGACACAAACTAGGTCATTTCGGGACTAACATATGGTTTTAATTTTATTTACATAATTCGCTTGCGCGTAGGGGTCTTTAGCAGTGGGAGGAAACCGGAGGACCCGGAGAAAACCCACGAGGTTGGACAGGCGACCCTACTCCTTGCCACGTACAACCGGGGATTCGAAACCACGCCAGTCGCATTCTATGAGGAAATGAAATGAAATGAAATGAAATGGGGTTTAACGTCCTACTGTTTTGCTCCGAACTGGGCTAATGAAGACGGGCATACGCCATACAGTGTGCTATGAGGGAAATTTTGCCCGGACAGCGGCACTACGGCCTACTCTTATATCGAATTCCAACTGTCAAGGGATCTTTTACGTGCACGCCAATGAGTACACGGGACCCCGGTTTTTCGTCCCATCCGAACGACCAGACAACTGTCCTTGTCACCCCCCCCCCCCCCGTCCTGCATCACTGACAAGGGAGAAACAAATTGGTAAATAATTGTGTGCACATCTTTTTCGGGTCTTGCTTACACTCATCTTCCAAGACATCAGATTTTTGAGGGTATGGACTCCAAACGTGTACATACTAAATATGCAGTAAGTGATGACGTAGAGCAGAGTTACGAATATACGCCTAGGCCTACCTAAATTTGGGTTCGCGTCAACATGTTTTGGGTAGGGCATTCCCTGCAAATGGTATAAGGAATCACTTAACACCACTGAGCATATCTTCAAATGAAATAATGGCCCCAAAAACATTTAGAGATTAAAACTGCTATTTTATGATAAAACTGTGCAGATGTATGCCCCTTATAAATTTGGATTCAGGACAAGGAAGTTTCTGGGGTAATGAAATACCCGAAAATGGCTCAAGAGAGCACCGGACAACAATGAAAACCATGCCAAATAAAAGTTTGACCCTGAAAACCTAATGCATGGCGTTAGTTTCGTGTGTTTCTCTCAAAAATTGACTAATTTGTGTATGTCTGAAGTTGTACCATTTCATGGAAAATGGCTTAAAAACCTGAACTTTACCCTCAAAATTTGGGACTTTTCAGTGCTCCAATTTTGGTAAAACTTTTGTAGGACTTCATTTAGTACACCCAGCGCTACCAAAAACCATCAAAAAAACATTTCTTGCAATTCTTTGGGAGTTGACCCCCTTTTTCATAATAAATATTGTGATTAACTAAAGATTTCAAGGACAACAGCTTACCGAGTGCGCATATTTTGACAAGGTCACGATTTGGGTCAATTGCTGCAACATTTCATTGTTTCTTTTTATTCGGAAGGGGTTCCGGGAGGTGGAAGCAAAACATTGGCCTATCGTATAGTATTTTCCTCTTTTCCTTGTAAGTTGTTAATTAGTGGAGATGAGGGTTAGTTTATCGGAAGGGTTAGCCGATATCAAATACTAGTACCTAGGCACAGTCTACTCTGCAAATGTGTTTCTTTAGATAATAAAACTTCTCTCCATTTCAATAGGTACATTATAGATTAGGTTGGAGCAAATTGACAACTACACAATTTTTAAGACAAATGGTCAGGACTAAATTTGAAGCACAGCTCGGAAAGAAACCCACAGGGTACACAATAAATTAATTATCAATATTTTAAACACGAATGAACACGCACCTGTCCAGAGTACAATTTAATAAATAGAAGGAGACGATCGTTTTGGGTTGTTTTTTTTGTTTTTTTTTTACATAAATAAATTTATAAATATAAAGAAAGAAATGAATAAACTAAGATATGTATAAACATAAATGCTAGTATCATAATAGATGACAATTTAAAATATACACCTGGAGAAAGTTAAAGATGCATTATATAATCTTGAGATAAATCTGTCTATTACAGGGCTTTATTTTGTTATATAAACTATTACATTTATTAACATGACAAGCACATAATAAACTCTCTAGACTATCGGATGGCAGAGATTTAAATATTGAACGATAAAATGGATAATCGAATCTTAGGCTCGTTTGTCTAGTTCCGTTGCAGCAATAATAAACAATCAACGCTGCTTCTTCCAACATTCATAATTTGCCCCAGAATAATGTAATTTTTAATAAAATTATCAATATATTCATTTTTCATAATCTATTTTTGAACTATATATTATAGCAAGAACAGCCAGCTCTTTATCTAATTCTTACATAATGCTTCTTTTAAGTATAACGCTTATTTTGATTTCGATATTATGCAAAATTATATATAGAATACTATTACTGGTGGTGCTTACTTTTTCTCCAGATGTATAATGTAAGTAATATTGTGTCATTTATTTAAATGTCAAATGTTTATATGATTTTATGTTAATTAAAGTGTAAAGTAGATCTACAAATCCATGACCATTCTGCCATGTAATGCAATTACCAGACCATTATAACAGTGCAAATCATTTAGCCTACCGTCCAGTCATCGTGTGTTCGAAAATATGCGACCACAGTCATTTTTTTTCGGCTAAAAGAAGTTAGAAGTGAGTCTTTCTATTCGTAATTTGAAATATTACACACGACAAAGGGAAAGAAGGGTCAAACTTTTCAATGTTGAACTCCTTTCACCGTGTCACATCGTATTTATACACCTCGACTCAATACAGTTACGATGGTCGATAACAAAATGACCAGTGAGACTGGTTTATAAAGTCTACCAGAGCCGTTGTCAGCCATAGTAGTTCTAACAGGACAAACACTTAGGCTGGTAGAGGAATCACCGGTCGGCTTAACAACTGGTGAAGATATGTCCGTCCAGAACGTCTTTTCGTTCTTCACAAAAGTTCCCCTAAAACAAAGAAAACAAGTGAGATATAAAAACGGTATATAAGATTTATCGGTAGAATTTCTCAAACTTAGATTCTTATCATCGGACAATCTATTTGTATGAACAAGATGCGCGGGCTTTTTATCACTCATGGAAATCAACCAACGACATAATTTCAACCAAATTTGGTCACCAAATTCCATTACTTCCCAAACGGTACGATCGCGTGGTTAAGTGAGAAATTAAAATAACAAAAAAATTAAAACGAAACGAAGAATTAATTATATACGGTGTAGACTGTTATCTCATCTGTAAGGTGCGACTGGGATGTGGCTTTGGCATTTTTTTAAAAAAAAAACCCACAGAATTTTCAAAGTCGCTACTTACCTGAAATAGATTTGACCAACAGCTGGAGTAGGAGCTGTCCATGTTATAGTCTTATTAGTTATATGTACACTCGTTTTCTGGGAAACTGCACTCTACAAACATAAAACATTTTAAACGTCATGCACACTTCTTTCCTGCGACATTTTCTGAACAATCAGACCAACTTATAACCGGAAGGCGAAGTCGTGAATGCAAGAAAGGCCGCAGCGAATTCAAGTCGCTTTCTTGGCTACACACTAATTATGCCTTGCCATGCGAGGTTAACTCATAGCGAAGCAAAGCCGGGGCGAGATTAGGAGTATGTGTCCCGGCTTCTTGCGTTTAAAGTTTTGGTCGTGCATTTTCTATGTCAAATTACGATTGGTTAACAAGCTCTTTAACAACCAATCTATTAGCGCGAGATTAACCAAAGCTCGGAATATTGTTAAACCGCGACACTATAAAGAGAAGGTAGAAAATTCGTGACGCCAGCTATTTGAATTGTGAGCAGACTACCGACGTACTAGTTACATATAAAACTTTTGAATTGGTATTGATGTTGAATGTATATTTATAAAACTCGTGTGATTATACTTACACCAGAAACACCGCTACATGTCATAAGTTGAAGGAATGTGTCACCACTGGGTATGGTAAACGTTCCCACCGGTGTATCGTTTGTACCATCAGAACAATTACTGACAGCTCTTCTAGCTTGTATAAAAACACCTTCATAGTAGTTAGAGGTGGCAATCAAATTCACTAGAAAACCGAAATATAGAACTTAAAGAAACTGTGAAATTAATTACTGAATAAAACAAAAGGTTAAAACTGTCATTTATTGGCCATGAGACCGTCGGATGAATGGGGCTATGGAACATTGAGCATAGGCAAACTTTAAATTCTATGTCCCACTGCCTCTTTTTTAACTGGTTCAGTTTGGAATGGACATACATATCCTAATTCAAAATGATCATCGGGATTGTCACACGTGATTTTAAGATATTGTATCGAAAAATCGCTTATGCCCAGGCATTTGTTTTGTTTTTTGTTGGGGTTTTTTTTTTGGGGGGGGGGGGTAAAAAATATTTGTTAAAAAGCTGGTGGTGGTCTGACTTAAAGAAACTAAACCTCTAACTCAAGTGTTTTCTATAATATTCGAAATTATAAACACGAATTAGAATTCAATATTGGTCCATTTCAATCAATATTGATGTGATTATGTTGCCGTGAAAATATCCAATATTTAAGACACAATAAACATGTTATAATCGGTACACGAGTCGTGAATTCTATTGTTTTCGGGCGACATTTGTAACACAAAAAACATTTCCTACAAGACAATGCGGAAGTAATTAGTAATGACAGATTCACAAACTACAAAATAATAATTATAAAACCTGAAAAATGAACTAAGCAGGCGTAAACGACAGCTATTCAATTTGGACTGTTCAGTATTTCACCGAACATAATTGATTAGAAATTACAATATTCTTATAATCACTTTATATACATTCATGTTACATTGATTATGCTTTTAGACCCATTTTCGTCTATTTTAAGATTCCAAAGAATCGAGTCATACGCCCTTTAATTTCGAACACCAGGTCTTTTAGGTGTTTTTGTAAACTAACACATACATGTACCATGCTATCGTCACAAAAGCGAGAGGGGGGAGGGGGGGGGGGGGGGGGTAACGTATCATTATAATTATGTATATCATTCGTTGTAAAACTAATTTAGAGAGATTTTGATTTAATTGTCTTGAAACAGCTTTCGAAGTGTTTGGGTTCTGTTATGCAAGTTTTTATATTTTATGCTGTCATTTATTGACCTTTTGAATTCGGGGTTACAAAGAACAAAGGTGAATTTAGCAAGTTTACATTTTTATTGAAAGGGTGATTACGTTCGATCATTTTCAGCTTGTTTTCATGATACCAGAATGGCATTCACTTTCAGTGCAAATGAACTCATTTGACCCCGAATATCTCGAAAACGCCCCAACGGTTTTGTGCGCATTTGATAGACACCCCTCCGCACTGAGCCCCAAGACTAATAGTTAGATAGTATGGTGATTATATTACCAATCTAACTTACCTGTAACAGTGCCACCAGCAGAATATGTGGTTTGATCCACGGTTATTTGAAAATACGGAGTTCCGGTTTGAGCATTCGCTTTGTGTCCAGTAGGGTACATGTCAACACAAGCACTTGTGGGTGGGCCCTGTGGATAACCATTTACAACACATATCGTACATATACTTAAAGCAGCTACAAACTGAAAGAGAAAACATACATTTACTAGTTCGGAATAAAACAGCTACAAAGGAGAAATACACATTTACTTGCTGGAGATAAAGCAGCTACAAAGAGAAAACACACATTCACTAGGTGGAAGGAACAATAGAGTATTTCCAAATTCCCCAAAACTTAAAATTAAAATCAGATTTTGAATTAATCTCATCCGTTCACATTTATTGTGGACATTCTAGCGCGTAACTTTATGGATTAGGACCCGACTGTACGAAAAAGTGCATTTTTAGCTTGTGCCCCCCACCCCACCCCCGGATCTCGTATGAACTCGTAACATGTCATATATACTAAGCAGCAAACGAAACTTGAGGTTGGTAAGTTACTCTGAATAGACGCATTGCATAAACCTTGCCAAATGTTTTTATTGTATATTTGTGACCACATCTCCAACTTTACCTGAGCAATAAGGTTCCTTCCCAAACACAGATTTGAACCCATGAAATGTTCTCAAAAACGCAACCTGACTTCTGAGATGGTAATGTGTTCTCCATGATTTTCATGTAACTCATGCTGCAGGTGCTGTTCACTGGGACCAGCCTATAAAATGCACCCCCATACCTGGTTGAATCATTCACACTACAACGTCAGCAGCATGCCACGACTCACGAAAGCTCATAGAAACCAAGCGCTTGGAAGACTCGACGCTGGCCACACTGCCCAAGCCGTTGTCAATCACTTCCAGGTCAATGTTCGGACCATCTACAGGCTTCAGCAATGCAGTCGGGCCACCAACACCACGGATGATCGCTCCCGAACTGGTAGACCAAGGGTTACCACAAGGCGATAAGACCGCCATGTTGTGCGACAGCACGTGCAGATTCCCTTCACACAGGCATCTGAGACAGCACGCCAGACAGCGGGAACACACGGAAGACACATCAGTACCCATACAGTGCGCCAACGTCTCACCAGAGAGAACATCCATTGCCATAGACCTTACCGTGGACCGATCTTCACCCTTCTCCATCGACGTGAACGTCTACAGTTTGCCCAACAACACCAGAACTGGCGACACAGACAATGGAAAACTGTTCTGCTCACAGATGAGAGTCGGTATTGCGTATCAACTGCAGATGGCAGAACCAGAATATGGCGTCGACGTGGCCAGCGTTATTCTGACCAATGTGTCCTGGAACGAGACTCATGGGGAGGTCCAAGCTTAATGGTTTGGGGTCAAATCGGCCTGAACCAGAGAGTGGGTCCTGTGGTGTTCCAAAATCTTGGTCCAGAGAGAGGAGGCGGCATCACAGCAGTGCGCTACATCGATCAAGCTCTCAGCCCCCACGTCATACCACAATTCGCACGTCATCGAAACAACGTTTTCCTGCATGACAACGCACGTGCCCACACCGCCAGAGTCACTCGGGACTTTCTACAGCAGAACAGTGTCAACGTTATGCACTGGCCAGCCCTTAGCCCGGACTTAAACCCGATTGAACATCGTTGAGATGGAATTCAGAGACTTAATAACGTCGTACCGAGACCAAACACAGTCGATGAATTGCGCCAGGCTTTTCTGGGAGTGTGTTTCCAGATGCCACTGGCGTTCATCAATCGTCTGGCCCACTCCATGTACAGACGCTGCGCTGCTGTTATTAACACTTGCGGTGGACACACGATATACTGATGTATCGACTGTGTACAGGCTCTTAACCTTCTCGTAATGTCTTGGAATTGTGATGAATTAATTATTAATGTGTCAACATGCTGTTCACAAAAAATTGCTTTGATCCATTTAGTAAGTCGTTTTCTAGAATGATTTGATTAAAGTGCCTCTCTGATTTTGAAATCGTACTGCCGTTTTTGGGGTTTTTTTCAAATTTTTTTTTTTTTCAAATTCAATGTGAAACCTTGTGTACATGCAAGGAACCATATCGATATTCAACGTTCCGCAATCTTCCACTCCGCAGGCGAGAACCGAGGGTCCGAACCCAGACAAGTCTGTCCTACAACTCAATAACCGCGGTTCTTAATATATTTGATATTTGATATAAAAAGGGATAAATATTTATCATTCTCAATCACTGTCAGCGTGACCAACAAGATTTCGTTTAACATCACCTGTGTAACTGATTCTGAGAAATGAAATATGTTCAGTATTGAAGTAGTTTACAAGTTCGTAACGGATTTTGGTGAAGTTAAATCAATTGAAACTTTTGCAAATCGTATTAAATTTATCACACTTTTCTTTTTTTTCTTTGACAGTGTACAACTTCTGGGTTGCATTCGGTTCTTCATTGAAGCTTTGGTCACTACCTCCAGAAGACAAGTTCTCGGTAGTGTGGCAGTTTATTGCACAGGCAACTGTAACGTGGAAAAAATTTCAAAAATAACATCAAGCTATGACTAGCGAAAATTAGTGAGTATTGCCACTGGTTGACCTGAAGCAATGGCTAGAGAAATCCCTCTCTGGCCATTGCTGGATAATTGGCTTCTGATACTTGAGCTTTTGAGGGAGTGTGTCTGTTCTTCCCGTTCAATCAAATCTATCCCAAGTACAGCAACATGACAGCCCTTCATTTAATCTGGGGTCTTCCCTGAAACTTTGGACAGTCATTTAAGGTATTAAAAACGGCGAAAGTATTGTTTACATTGTATCCGTGTTGATAGCCTTGTTTGTCACGCAATTAGTTTTTCTGCAATATTCTGCTATGCACTGGTTAATTGGACATAATAAAATCGTGAGTCATGACGTAATGTTATGTAAACATATTTGGTCCAATTTGGAGCTCTGTTTAAAGCGTAATGCTATTGGTTGTTAATCGGACTATTGACCAGTCATAATTTGGAATTAGCTCTAATAAAACGAAATACTGCGAAGAGTATGCTGGTTGACGGAATCTAGAGTAGTGAACATTGGTCCGAATTATTTATTTCCAACCGGTTTCCCACCTCGGTATTATTATATCTACTGAAAGAAAATCGGTTTCAGACGATTTATTTGCCCCTGAGTTAGAAATCGGATTCAGGCCAGTTATTTAATAATCTCACTTACGAAAATGGACGTACCAGGCTTTAGACATGTGGTAGATACATAGAATCATCCCACCCTTTTAAATCTTGACTTTCACATTACTTTGCGTTATCATGTATTGTAAAAGGGGTCGCTCTCGCAGAAGGACTCACAGAACGTCCAGTGAAGCTCTGAACGAGGTCGAAATCTTCCCGTAGTGCAAACATAGGAACCAGATTCATAAACAATGGCGGCCGAGATGACAGTTCATCTGTAAGTCCTAAACGTACTCGGTACGCTGACGTTCCAGAGAACTGGTCTTCACAGAAATTGTGTCAGGAACTAAAGCAACCGGGGATGATCTTACCCACTAGTACGCCTAATAAAATTTTGATTCAAGTCTTCAAACAGTTATACGAGGGCGAAAGTCCGGCTATAACTTGTGCTGCTGAACCTGACCTTGATGCTAGCTCTCGTTATGCAATTAACAATAACAATATCACTTCCGGGGGAGGGAACCAAAATGGCAGCGCCCATGCCTCTATTTCCCAAACGGACGGTTGGCAGGAATCGAGAACACCACTTCATGATAACTGATAATAATAATTAACAACCGGGAAGTGCCCAAAGCAACGAATTACATCGTTTACGACTAGAATTAGCCGGAGTACAAACATCGTTGGCGGAAATTAACTATAAACTGTCAACAAACCAAGTACAAGCAGCAGTCGGCTTTTGTAATAATGTCATGCCCACGGGAAGAATTGGTCCGAGAGATATAACACTGACAGAAACTTTGCTTACTACAGGCACTGATGACAACCATGCAACGGTAGTAACCCCATGGCCAGTCATAGACATGGGAGTTAACAGGTATGACCACTGGTTTTAAGAGAATTCCGATAGACAATTTACCAGATGTAAATGTTGTCCCGCAGAACGTTAGAAAGGTCATTCATGCCCATAAACATGTTAATTTAGCATTGCTACTAGTGCCAGGGATGGAAACAAAAATTATAGACCAAGCTAGAAATCAAGTCGTGGTGAAGGCTAATGACCCTAGACTTCACAGGAATCTCACCATCCACGAATTCAGATTGGCTTTCCGGCGTTTTAAGAACGTCATATGTGAGAAAGAACCAGAACGCAGAAGAGAACTAGACAAGTATGCAGACCTTATTGATAGTCTGTTCATGCAGTTTGGTAGTTCCCATTTCTACGAGTACCACAACGCTTTCTCTAAGAAAGCCGAGCAGTTTGAGGTTAATCACAATTGTAAAGTCGATTGGTCATATAGAGATACATCACTATACTTGCGGCTTTTTGCTGGTATCAAGAGCATGTCCTGTGATCACTGTCAGAGTTTCCTGCATGTTTCTGGATTCTGCCCCCTAGTCGTAGCTAACTCAGCTTTTTACAAGACTCCGGAGAGCGGCTATAGTACCAACGAAAACTTGAGAAGATCAACTTCAAAATTTGATAAACATGGTAGACCCAGACTTTTTCATAACGGGAAAGAAATTTGTAACAATTTTAACTCTGTTGGATGCTCATTCACTCATGATAACTTTACTAAAATGTTACATATATGCAGCAGGTCGTTCCAGCAACCACTCAGCCAAGACCCAGAAAATGTTAAAAATAAAGCTTGCAGTTGACCTTTGCCCAACAACTCCATAATCATGAGTACGAATTGTAAACAAAATGTATCCCGGATTCCTGGAACAAATTATATCTTTAAGGCGACTACCCCTATAAACATTGCTGCTCTGGAATTGGAATTACAGAACCGCCCTGATAAACATTTTACTGTCGTGATCATGGATTTGACACAGGATTTACCTCTCTGCCTTTAGAAAGTTATGTGTGTAAAAAGCTCTTGTCAGCCTGTAATCAACCGGATAAGGTGTCGCTATTACTTCAAGCTGATGTCGAAAAAGGGTTTGTTATCGGACCGTTCGCCCGTTCTAAGAAATTAAGGCTTATAGTTGATTTCTGTGCTCCACATAATA